CAAAATCTCATAGGGAGACAACCCATGACTTCCCCTTGGTGTGTATCTAACGCTGAAAAGAGCAATAGGCAAGCTGTCCCGGCCATCCCATGCCTACCTCTTGGGCCATTTTTAACATTCTTGACTTCAGGACCCCATTTAGGCGCTCTAAAACCTTCCCACTACTCTGGGGATGATAGGGTGTGTGAAACGCATGCAAGTGTGACCCCCAGAGCCCCCCAGATCTCTTTTTGTGACATTGGCAGTAAAAGCCGGTCCCTGATCGCTTTTCAACCACCTCGGGCACTCCATATCTGCAGACTATCTCCGTGAGCAGCTTCTTGCCGTCTGGTTGGTTACTGCAAATGCCTCTGGCCATCCTGAGAACATATCCACCACCACTAGGGCATATTCAAATTGTCAACTTTTTGGCATCTGGATATGATCTATCTGGATCCTCTGAAATGGATATAGTGCCCTGGCCAGATGCTTGCTTGGAGGTTTCTCAGGTCTTCCAGGATTGCACTTGGCACATACAACACAAGAAGACTTACAGAATCTGTCTGTGTAAGCCGTAATTCTGGGTGCCACATAGTATTTACTGATCAAAGAGTTCATTAGCATCTTGGACAGGTGTGACGCTCCATGTGCCCACTGCACTGTTGCCGGATATAAGGATCTGGGAAGCAAAACCTTCTTCCCTACCACCCACAATCCTTTGTCCTCAACTGCTCCTTTCTGCATCCATTCCTTCCTTTCTTCTTCTGAAGCATTATCCTGGGCTTCCTGGAGTTGGTTGTCCTTGGGCTGATGAATTAGCACAGGCATCACCTCACTGCACATCTCTTCATCCTCTTCCTGCTCCCTGACCGCAGCTTGCTTAGCAGCCATGTCTGCCAGATGATTTCCTTTTGCTTCCATAGTGGTCAATTTACCGTGGGCCTTCACCTTCAGTATGGCCACTTGGGCTGGTAGTAAGAGTGCTTCCATAAGGCGGTTGATCGCCTTTCCATGCTTTACAGGAGTCCCAGCTGCCGTGAGAAAGCCCCTCATTTTCCAGATTAGGCCAGAATATAAAGTGCAACCCCCAGTGCATATCTGGAGTCCGTGTAAATGTTAGCTGTCTGTCCTTTTGTTAATTCACAGGCTTTGGTGAGGGCCCTTAGTTCAGCCTCTTGTGCAGACATAAAAGGTGGAAGAGGTCTAGCTTGCAGTACCATTGTGTCGGTAGTCACAGCATATCCAGTGTGGTAGGTACCAGCATTATCTGAAAAGCGGGATCCATCCACAAAAAGTATTAGGTCAGGATTTGAATGGGGCGTATCATGGACTGTTGGTAGGTGTGTAGTTTCTGCCTGCATAAGTTCCAAACAGTCATGTACCACATCCTCTGGTGCCATGTCTTCGGTGTTCTTCTTCTGCTACGTCTACCCCCCCCCCCCCTGGAAGAGGGAGAAGAGTTGCAGGGTTTATCTGGGTGCATCTGGCCAGGGTGACATGATCAGGTAAAAGAAGGGAGCCTTGCAGTCGCAGATGCCTGGCAGCAGATAGATGTTTTGGTTGGGTTTGGTTCAGTATTGCGGTAATGTCATGGGGGGCCAGAAGTGTGAGTGGATGTCCTAAGACCAAATCTGCCGTTTTATCCAGAAGAAGATGAGCAGCAAAAACAGCCCTCAGACAGGAGGGACCACCTCGTGCAACCGGGTCTAGCCTGCAGGAGTAATAACCCAGAGGCCTGAGGCGACCCCCATGGTGTTTGTGCCAGAACTCCTGTTGCATGACCCTGTCTCTCAGCCACAAAAAGTTTGAAGGGCTCATCATAATCTGGTAGACCTAATGCAGGTGCAGTGGAGATGGCTTTTTTCAGGCGATGGAAATCAAGTACAGCTTCTTCTGTCAGGGAAAAGGGTTCAGATTTCAGGGCATCATAAAGGGATGCATCTGGGATCCAGGAACGACAATAGGAAACCAACCCTAGAAAAGCATGCAGGGTTTTTGGTCCCTGAGGTATTGGGACATTCTGGATAGCCCGTACTCTATCCAGTGTGAGGTGATGAGTGGCTTGGGAAATGCAATGTCCCAAGAAAATGACAGAAGTTTGGCACCACTGTAACTTGTCCTTAGAAACCTTGCAGCCCTGTTCAGCCAGGTGGTGGAGGAGGCTCAGAGAGGCGATTTTTCCCTCAGAATGGTTGGTGGCACATAGGAGCAAGTCATCCACATATTGGAGCACTATGACTTCCGGGTGTGACTGTTGCCAGGTGCTGAGGATAGTTGTCATGGCCTTTGTAAATTGGCTTGGCGAATTTTGGGCCCCTTGGGGCATAACTCTCCAGGTATACTCTCCAGGCCAGCATGGGTAAAGGCGAAGAGATACATGCAGGAGGGGTCCAGCGGAACACTGAAGAAGGCATTTGCCAAGTCAATAACTGTGAACACTTGGGCTGTGGGAGGTACCCCTGCAAGCAGGGTGTGGGGGTTTGGTACAATGGGGGTTTCCAAAATAGTTGCCTCATTGACTGCTCTCAGATCTTGAACCATGCGATATTTGGTGGGCTCACCTTTTGGAGTTCTTTTCTTCACTGGGAAAAGGGGTGTATTGCATGGGGACACACAGGGAATTAATGCCCCGTTTTCCAGAAGTATATTGACTTGTTTGGAGATGGCGTCCATCTGGGCTTGCTTCAGAGGGTATTGAGGCTTCCGTGGCAATGTTGCTCCAGGTTTAAGCTGGACTAACACTGGAGCAACTTTCAGATGGCCAATATCCTCAGGGCTGGTGGACCAAAGAGTGAGTGGCAGCTCCTGTAAGGCCTGTTCTACATGGTCTGGCAAGGGGTGGCCTGAAACTTCCTGTAGAGACACCAGTATAATTAGTTCCAGGTGTTTGACTGGCTGCAAGGTTGAGTCTCTGATTGCTGGGAGCACCCGCTGGCCAGCCCTGGTACTGCAGCTCATAAGGCAGGTGAGTCCCACTATTGCTGGCCAGTCCATTCCTGACAGTACCCCCCCCCCCTCAAGGAGCGGCCTCAGTACGCTCCAAACAGTCCTAGCTGCGCAAAATGTTCCACCGCCCGGGTCTGGTAACTGGCGGGAGCATATCAAAGACTCTGGCACACCGGGCAGGACTCCGGGCAGCGGCACACCGAGGGTCAGGACTCCGGGCAGCGGCACACCGGGCAGGGGCACACCGGGCAGGACAAGCCGGGCAGAGCACATCGGGCTTGACTCCGGGCAGGGGCACATCGGGCTGGACTCCGGGCAGAGGCACATCGGGCTGGACTCCGGGCAGAGGCACATCGGGCTGGACTCCGGGCAGAGGCACATCGGGCTGGACTCCGGGCAGAGGCACATCGGATTACCAGGTGAAGCAGCAGGCACTCGGGCCCCCAGGCGGGGCGACAGGCATTGGGGCCCCAGGCAGGGCGACAGGCACCGGGCCCCCCGGCGGGGCGACAGGCAAAACAGGCTGGGCAAAATGTTCCACCTGCCCGGGTTGGTAACTGGGGGGATATCAAAGGGCCCCCAAGCGGAGAGGCGGGCACCGGGCCCCCAGGAGGGCGACAGGCATTGGGCCCCCAAGCGGAGCGGCGGGCGCCGGGCCCCCAGGAGGGGCGACAGGCATCGGGCCCCCAGGCGGGGCGACAGGCATCGGGCCCCCAGGCGGGGCGACAGGCCTCGGGCCCCCAGGCGGAGCGGCGGGCTCCGGGGCCCCCCAGGAGCGGGCGACAGCCATCGGGCCCCAGGCGGAGCGGCGGGCGCCCGGGCCCCCAGGCGGGGCGACAGGCATCGGGCCCCCAGGCGGGGCGGCGGGCACCGGACTCCCAGGCGGAGCGACAGGTCATCGGGCCCCCAGGCGGAGCGGCGGGCGCCGGACCCCCAGGCGGAGCGACAGGTCTCGGGCCCCCAGGCGGAGCGGCGGGCGCTGGACCCCCAGGCAGGCGACAGGTCTCGGGCCCCCAGGCGGAGCGGCGGGCGCCGGGCCCCCAGGCAGAGCGACAGGTCTCGGGCCCCCAGGCGGAGTGCGGAGCGGTGGGCGCTGGACCCCCAGGCGGAGCGGCAGGCGCCGGACCCCCAGGCGGAGCGGCAGGCGCCGGACCCCCAGGCGGAGCGACAGGTCTCGGGGCCCCCAGGCGGAGCGGTGGGCACCGAGTCACCAGGCACGACAGTGGGCTCCGAGTCAACTGGCAAGACTGCGGGCACCGAGTCAACTGGCAAGACTGCGGGCACCCGAGCCAACTGGCGGAACAGGTGGGCTTCGAGTCGTCTGGCAAGACTGCGGGCACCGAGTCGTCTGGCGAGACTGCGGGCACCGAGTCGTCTGGCAAGACTGCGGGCACCGAGTCGTCTGGCAAGACTGCGGGCACCGAGTCAACTGGCGGAACAGCGGGCTTCGAGTCGTCTGGCAAGACTGCGGGCACCGAGTTGTCTGGCAAGACTGCGGGCACCGAGTTGTCTGGCAAGACTGCGGGCACCGAGTCGTCTGGCGGAACAGCGGGCATCGGGCAGTCAACTGGCAAGACTGCGGGCACCGAGTCGTCTGGCAAGACTGCGGGCACCGAGTCGTCTGGCAAGACTGCGGGCACCGAGTCATCTGGCAAGACTGCGGGCACCGAGTCACCTGGCTGGCAAGACAGCGGGCATCGAGTCAACTGGCGGAACAGCGGGCACCGAGTCGTCTGGCAAGACTGCGGGCACCGAATCACCAGGCACGACAGTGGGCTCTGACTCAATTGGCACGACAGCGGGCACCGGGTCATCAGGTACCGGATTGTCTGGCTCGACAGCGGGCATCGGGTCACCAGGTATGACAGCGGGCACTGGGTCACCAGGCATCAGGTCATTTGGCTTGCCAGCGGGCACCGCGTCATCTGGCAAGGCAGTGGGCACACGGGTCACCAGGCATTGGATCGTCTGGCTCGACAGCGGGCATCGGGTCACCAGGTATGACAGCGGGCACTGGGTCACCAGGCATCAGGTCATTTAGCTCGCCAGCGGGCACCGCGTCATCTGGCAAGGCAGTGGGCACCGAGTCACCAGGCACGACAGCGGGCTCTGAGTCAACTGGCATGACAGCGGGCACCGGGTCATCAGGTACCGGATTGTCTGGCTCGACAGCGGGCATCGGGTCACCAGGTATGACAGCAGGCACTGGGTCACCAGGCATCAGGTCATTTGGCTCGCCAGCGGGCACCGCGTCATCTGGCAAGGCAGTGGGCACCGAGTCACCAGGCACGACAGCGGGCTCTGAGTCAATTGGCACGACAGCGGGCACCGGGTCATCAGGTACCGGATTGTGGATCAACAGCGGGCATCGGGTCACCAGGTATGGCAGCGCTAATGGGTCACCAGGCTGGATCAGTTCATCATGCTGGGTAGGACGGCGTCATCTGGCAAGGCAGTGGGCACCAGGCATCCAGGGGAGTAATTGGCACGACAGCGGTGAGGATCATCTGATCAACAGCTGGGCATCGAGTCAACTGGCCTAAGTAGGATCGTCAGGCTGAAGATCAGGCATCATGCTGGGTAGCGGCATCAGAATGCAGGCATCAGGCTGAGTAGAAGGCATCAGGCTGAGTAGAGGCATTCAGGCTGAGTAGAGGCATTCAGGCTGAGTAGAGGCTTCAGGCTGAACCACGGAAGGCAGGTTCACCGGTTTGGATACTGGCAGGATGGTATTGGTTGGAAAGAATTTTCGCTTTTTTCTGGTTTTAACTACTGGAGCACTGCAAGTAAACGCAGGTCTGCAAACGAATGGAGCAGCTGGAGACAGAGAAGAGCTGGAGGATGGAACAGGGGAGGGAGCAGTTGCTACAGAGGGCTTTTTTACAGGGTTAAAGGCAGGATAGGTGCAGCGAGTGGGAACAGGGTACTGACATGCGGTAGATAGCAGGGCAGGAGGAGCTGTTGGGAATGCAGGAATAGAGCTTTGAGGAAATAGATTAGAAGCAGGACTGGGTCTTTGTAAGCTGACTGAGGCTGGGTGCAACAAATCTGTCCATGTCTGCAGTATCGGGTTGAACAAAGCTGAGCTTACACAAAGCCTGTCTGACTAAAGACTGCACTGCGTTTATACAATCTCTTAGTACCTGTGGTGAACATGCAGCATAATGCTCCAAGAAGCAATCCACATCATCCTCTAATAACCATACCAGGGACTCTACCTGGTCGGCACTAAATGGCGGCAAAAATTCATCCCTGCATTCGGGGGAACCAGATGAAACCAACTCCGCACAGATCTGAATCAATGGCTGCACCTCAGAGAATTCTGTGCCCTGATCTACTAGAACATGAGCGAGCCGTATACATTCTAGCAGTTCATCCCGGGGATACTCCTTCAGAGTTTGATAAGCATACTCTCTGTCATCAAACACTAGCAGATATAAATACACAACCTCATCAAGATCCATCCTTCCCATCAACAAACCAAGATGGCTTCCTTGTGCAGCCACTTCTGGTCAGGATTGGCCTTGGTGTAATGTCAGGGCTCTCGGGTATGACCAGAGGTGTGTGACTGACGCAGGGAAACGCAGACTTCAGATGTTATAAACAATGTAATTTATTAACACTAACAATACAAACATAAACGCAGTGCAATACTAAAACATAACACAGTGCAAACAAACCAAACCAACCACCCACAGATGACAGTACATACAATGCAAGCGTCGTCAGGCAGGCCGGGTCAATATCAATCGGGCAGGTAGGTACAGGGGAAGCAAGCGGAGAATGGTCGGGGTCACAGGCCAGGTTCAGCAGGTAGCGGGCAGCGTGGTACAGGGGGTCAGGCAGAGGAGAATGGTCAGACAAGCCAGGGATCAGGAGCAGGAGAATGGTCAGACAAGCCAGGGATCAGAGCAGGGTCAGCAGAGAATCAGACAGGAACAGGGAGCAGGAACAGGATACAGGGCCCAGGAGAAACACAACACCAAGGCAGAGTCTGCAGGTCTGAATGTCCCTTAAATACACCAGTATAATTAGTTCCAGGTGTTTGACTGGCTGCAAGGTTGAGTCTCTGATTGCTGGGAGCACCCGCTGGCCAGCCCTGGTACTGCAGCTCATAAGGCAGGTGAGTCCCACTATTGCTGGCCAGTCCATTCCTGACATCATCAGTGGTAATGAACATAGAGCCGAGGTGTCTTCCTCTCCCAAGGGGGTGGAGAGCTGAATGGTGCCATCTGGTTGGTAGGATATAGTTGCTTGCCACCTGGACAAGACATCAGCTCCCAGCAGATTCAACGGGCAAGTATTTGACACCACAAAACGAGACAGAAGATTGGGTAAGGTGCCGATATGTAGAGGTTTTGTAAGCCAACTGCGTTGTGGGCAGCCGTCTACTCCAACGCAGGAAACATTAATGTTTGAGAGGTATGTTTCATTGGGTAAATCTTCTCTCCGCAAAACGCTTCTGGCTGCACCTGTGTCCACTAAGAATTGTGTAGGATGTCCCTCGATGGGAACAGTGACCTTTGCTAGGGGCCCACTAGCACAATATCCATGAGAAGAAACTGTCATAAGGGGAGTGGACACAGGTTTGCCCCTGTCCTATTGGAGAAGGTTTAGTTGTTCTTGGGTAGGACCTGTGCGTGGGGGTCCTGGAAGCGGTGGAGGTGGTGGCATTGCAGACTCTTCCCACCCTGAGTAGTCATTGGGTCAAAATAATAAAACTTTTCTTTACAACAAATAAATAGCAAAAAATACACAAAAAATATATAAAATAAAACCTACATACAGACATGGAACCAAAAAATAATAAAAATAAATTTCCCAAAATTCAAAAAATACAGAATATATAATCCAAAGAAATGATAATCCAAAAAAATATATAATAATCCACAGAAATATAATCCAAAAAAATAATAATAGTAATCCCCACAGGTGTAAAAAGTAAATTTCTTTCTTCTTTCATCAAACACTCCTTCTCAATATCCGCAAATCCTGATGACAGTACACCTCAAAAAGAAAAAACTTGACATAGTGTCATACCTTTTATATAATACAGCACGTGCCACGCAGCATGCAAAAACCTTTATAGATGTGTATAAATGTGTATACTCTATGGACGAGAATCTATACACATGCAAAATTTCTATAGTGAATATAAGTGTAAGTGAAACACACTCATATAACAAAAAGTGTCTGAAAAAGTCATAGGAAGTGACGAAACGCGTCAGTGACACGTGACGTCAGACGTATCGACGTTAACCGGAAGTGCGATCGCGGCCATCTTGGAAGTAGGAACATGTGGCCAATGTTTCCCTGAATCTGTCCACACTTACATCCCTGTGAGGAGGAGCTGTTTCCACCTAGATTTTATGTGAGTTGCCAATAAAGGAGGATATGTTATAGACTATCTGTGACTGTGGATTTTCTTGAAAATGGAAGTTATACCCTAGTATTTGGAGAAAATCGGTTGGAGGAGAAACTAACCCAGAGTGGTGTCCTGCCCTGATGTTTTGGATATAGGGTAATTACCCATCAGCATATGAGTTGGAGAGTGTTGTTTCTGGTCTTAGGGGATCACTGAGATACACACTTGCAGTGTTAATTGGGATTTGTTTTCACACATGGTGTTTTGACACTTTTTGTTATATGAGTGTGTTTCACTTACACTTATATTCACTATAGAAATTTTGCATGTGTATAGATTCTTGTCCATAGAGTATACACATTTATACACATCTATAAAGGTTTTTGCATGCTGCGTGGCACGTGTGCTGTATTATATAAAAGGTATGACACTATGTCAAGTTTTTTCTTTTTGAGGTGTACTGTCATCAGGATTTGCGGATATTGAGAAGGAGTGTTTGATGAAAGAAGAAAGAAATTTACTTTTTACACCTGTGGGGATTACTATTATTATTTTTTTGGATTATATTTCTGTGGATTATTATATATTTTTTTGGATTATCATTTCTTTGGATCATATATTTTGTATTTTTTGAATTTTGGATATTTGGGAAATTTATTTTTATTATTTTTTGACTCCATGTCTGTATGTAGGTTTTATTTTATATATTTTTTGTGTATTTTTTGCTATTTATTTGTTGTAAAGAAAAGTTTTATTATTTTGTTCAATTAGCCTTCAGGGGTGGAGGTGGATTACTTTTCTGGGTTATCATAGGGTGATTTGTTGCTGTGTTTAAATATAAGTCATTGGGTCGTCGTGAACATCTGGGAGCTCTGCATTCCCTTCTGAAATGTCCTGGTTTTCCACAGTTGAAGCAAATAAGTGGGTTTCTTCTGGAGACCTGCTCTCCAGCCGACAACATGAGTGGTGTCGGCTTCCGGGCCACCTGGGCGGTCTCCAGACCTTTTGCCACTAATAGCAGTATATCCAGGTGGAGGGTACGGTACTCTGGACGGGCAGTGATCAAACCCTTGCGAACAGACTCCTTTAGTCCTGATACAAATGCAGAGGCCAGCATTTGAGTATGTACCTTGTTATGGACACTGAATCCCAGGTCTGTAAACACCTGTGTTAGTCTGGTATGGAACTTTTCCACCGACTCAGTCTTGTCTTGGGTAATGTCCTGCAATGTGGTGGCCTGGTCCGCCAGTCTCTCTCTGGCCCACTGCTGCAACTGGTCACAGAAAGAAATTCCCGAGGCATAAGTGGTGTCCTCATTTGGCTTTACTCTGGTGAGATCCTTTTCCATTATAGGCCAATATGCATCCCCAGCCTTGATCTCACACAGACTGACCAAATCCCTCCAGGCTGTGGAATAGGTCTTGTGGATCTGGGCTATGCGCCGGTAAAAAGGCATCGGGTGTTTCTCTGGGTCCAGGAGAGTTGTGACTAGTGCGGAGGCTTGGGATGGAGTGAAGGCCACATACATGATAGGAGCATCAGGTAGGTTGGGCACCGGGCGGGGATGGTCTTCTTCAGATCTTTGGGGGCGATAGACAGGATTGTGGTAAGTGGAAGAAAAGGGATGAGGTGCTGAGTCTGCTCCCATTCCAGACTCATACATAGATAATTTTTGACGATGGGGTTGTGTGGTTGGGGGAAGTTGAACGAGTGGTTTGCTTTCTGGACCATGGCCTTCTGAGAACGGATTATTCTGTTGGGAACAAATGGAAACAGCATCATCCTCTCGGGTACCCTGGCGGACTGCCGCAGCCACTGTCTTTTCTTGAGCCCATCCTCTTCTGTCTGGCAGAGAGGTAGGGGTTACCACATCTGTAAAATTCCAGCCCTGCCATTCTGTGGGTGTCTTCAGTTCAACTTGGTCTGAAGCCTCTGTTTGTTTTGGTGGTGGTGGTACTACAGGCATTAGGGGTGTGTGTGGAGGGCCGAAGGTGGTTGGGAGCCAGAGACAGTAAGCACTGGGCACAGGGTGGTAGCTGGTATGAGGTGTGTATGGTGTATCGGTGTACTAAGCCCAGAGTCAACATGGCTTCCGGTGGCCTCACTGGGCGCCGCCATCTTTGAAGAGGGCAGAAGCGGAAGGGGCGGGGCCGGAGGCGGAAATGGAGGTGACTGAGTTGGAAGCATCGGATGTTGCATAGTCAGCTTCCGGTCACATCCCTTGCAAATCT